ACTTATAGACCGATCAAGATCGGCCAGGATCAAGATCGAGCCAAGAAATAAAAAAGCCGTTATAACCGTAATTAGTGGGGAGAATATTGGCGAAAATTACGGCACGTATTAAGAAGAAGTCGATTAATTAGCCTATCCTGAGATTCCTTACTGTATTTAGAATTGTATCAAGAATAGAACTCCCCTACTATATAAAGGGGGTCTAATAATTTTTAAAGGCAGGACATACAAGGAATAAAAAGCAATATACTATTCTTTTCTTTAGGTTCTCAATACTCTGTTACTCTGGTCATATTTCATTTGCTATTTCATTTGGTTCGAGGGCCAAAGATGCACATACCATTTGGTTTGCCTTTATTTTTCTTTATAGTCAATTTCAATATCAATTTGCATATTTTCTCTATTTGTGCCAGGTTAAGTCACGTGCCCTTAAAACTACATATAAATTCAATTGTTATCCGTTTTCAGGGTAAACAATTTCTAATCTAATAGAGCATCCCTGCACTCGACTAATAAAGTACTTAATTACTCATTGATTGGTGTAGAAGCATTGGTTTTGCCTATAGTGCCAAAGGGAAATAAAACTGAGTTAATTAAATCATATGTGTACTGTGGAAAGGCTTCAATTTATTAGTACTAGCAAATATCCTCTTTTCCTTATCCCCTAAGAAAGAAAAAGATGTTAGAGGGTGGTACATCTTACAAGTCCGGAACTAAAATGTGGTTCTTTTGGATTTAAAGAACCAAAATGTGTGGAAAAAAAATATAAAGACCAAAAAATATATATAACGACCTTTTAAAGGGAGCTATATATATAACGCCTTTCCCTACAACGCTATAAATATTATATGGGCCCACCAATAATTCTTCTGGGCTTAACTAAAATAACAATAATTCAACTGGGTATAGCGCCCTTATTTAAAGCGTTATACCTAAAAACATTATACTCCAGGATTGGTTTTTGCCTTATATAAAGAGGTTAAGGATTTTCTAAAAATCCATACACAAATATTCTCAAGTCTTCTGAAATATTTCTTCGTTAAGTTGTTTTTGCATTTTATCATAATGTCAGAAGAGCGATGAATAAGGGTTTCATTATATTAGGGGGGTGAGGTTGTGGTGGCGAATAACTCAGTAACCTATAGTTTATCTCCACAGTGTCATGTTAAGTTGCCACTTACAATGGAGTACGATACATTGGTATCGTTGTTATGTAAAAAAATGAGTGTGAGCAAATGTTCGGTGAACCTTAAAGTAACCGGAAGATATCCATATTCTGTCACTCCGCAAGGGGTTGATTGTTATGCTGAGTTTAACATCGAGGACGATGAGACTCTGAGAGATTTTTTTAGGACTGCGGATGAATACCGGGAATTTCTTGTGATAAAAATGTTGGAAATGTACGTCAAGGTTGAAGACGTTCACAATAATGAGGTTGTGCAAAGTAGGGATATCCCTCAGTCATCGGGTGTTTATTTTGGAGTAGTTTTTGCCGAACAGATTTCGGTTGAAAGAGTTTGGCCTGATCTAAACTTATCTCCACGGGCGAATGAGGAGCGAGAAAATAATTTCTCTCATAGTTTACATAATCCACAAGATGAGTGGTAAACTCCAATTTTCCTTTGTGTTACGATGTTTATTTTTGCTATATTGAATTTGTATTAACACTCATGTATTTTACATGGGGTACCAGCCAGATATGAATTTTACAAGTTATGAACCAACGCCTCATTGGAATATGCCTAGTTCTGATGTGTTGGATTATGGTGGTCCATCCGAGAGTCGTCACCAACAGGATAATGTCCATCATGGGATGTCAAAACATTACGATTTGTAAGTAAAGTGATATAGCTATATGTAAAGTATTTATCAATTTGAGTAACTCATTATTTTGTTGGTTGTGCAGTGAAAACGAGCATTGTGAAGGTCCTATCCTTACTCAATTGCCCGAAGATGATATATTTAATCGGGATCTGGCAGATGCACAGAGTCAAGAAGAGAATAGTGATTATGACAACAATGCCGATGAGTCTAGAGATGATACACCCTTCCCTGATGAGGGTGATGATGAGGAGGAAGAGAATGCTGGACCTAATTTGACGAGGGAGCATGCTCCACCCCCGTTAGACCAAGAGTGTACGAGTCCCACGTGCCGTTTCATTCAAGGGAGATTCCCTACCTTGATCATTTGCCAAGTATGCCAGATGTGGATGCCCTCACAAGGGATATTGATGAAATTTGGACAGCAATGTGGGATGAATCTAGAGCAACGGTGCTTTCAAAGGGCATGCTTTTTCCCGATAAAGCGCGCCTAACTAGGGTGGTGCTAATGTACAGCATAAAAGAGTGTCGTGAGATCATGGTACGCGAGTCATCTCCAGATGTATATAAGGTAGTCTGCCATAGATGGTTTATGGGTTGTAATTGGATGCTGCGTGCGAGGAAGAAGAAAACAAATATGTGAGTTGTGGGTAAATACATTGGCACCCATAATTGTGAAATGGACACATTCAATGGGAATCATTTTAACTTTAATACTGACTTGATTTCTCTTGTATTGATTCCACACAGTGAAGCGTCCATAAGGTACAAGATCAAAGAGTGTATAACATCCGTCCACCAGGAATATGGGTGCACCATTACATAAAGAAAGGCATTTCTCGAGCGCAAACGTGCGTTTGAAATTGTTTATGATAACTGGGATAAGTCCTTTGCATCTCTACCCAGGTACATGGCTGCATTGCAACACTTTAACTCCAGACTGTTGTTGAATGGAAGCTTGAGCGGAGTCCGGGAATACCAGAACATATATTCAAATATGTGTTTTGTGCATTTAAACCAGCAATTGATGGTTTTCTGCATTGCCGGCTGGTAATATCCATAGACGACACTCATGTCTATGAAAAGTATGATATTACGTTGTTGATCGCCGTTGTAGTAGATGCTATTGGAAGTATATTTCCTTTAGCTTTTGCTATTTGTTCAAATGAAAGCCAAGAGATGTGGACACTATTTTTGAACCACTTGAAAGAGCACGTTATCAAACAACGTTCAGGTATTTGTCTAATATCTTATCTGCATGGTGGTATTTTAAGTTATGTACAGAATTTGCGTGCATGACAGGAACCGTATGCCTACCACTGTTAATGTGTGAGGCACCTGAAGGCCAATTTCCAGAAGGCATATCCCAACAAGGATTTGCATTATTTAATGTGGATGGCTGCAACAGATCACCAAGAGTGTAAATTCAGGAGGGCATGGAATCTATCAGGCAGGAAGACGAAGGAGCCTATCGTTTGTTGATGCGACATGAGCTTGACAAGTGGACTTTGCATGCGAAAGGTGGCAGAAGATGGGGAATTCTGACTACAAATGTGTCAGAGTCTTTCAACGGGTTATTGAACTCTACACGTGGATTTCCTATCACTGCCATGGTATGGATGTCATTCAAGCGGATGGCGGAGAGGTTTGTTGAAAGGGCTAGAGGTGCATCGTCATTGATGGAAAGGGGTGTTGAATTTATGCCAATACCAATGAAAAGATTTGAGAAATACAGGCGGTGAGAACATTGGCATTCATATTTATAGTATTGCAACGAGCGAAATATTTTTGAAGTTCGCACCGCTATCCATCAAAATCGGGGGAATAATACACACACCATAAATAAAGCCAGAAGGTTATGCTCTTGTGGGAAATGGTCCATCTACCATATGTCGTGCTCACATGCCATCAAGTGCTTTCAACATGCAGGTTTAGGGGCAACCAACTATGTTAATAAAGAATATAGTGTTGCTGCATACTTAAACACCTATAGTGGGCAGTTGCAACCAGTGGGTATTGAGCATTATTGGCCGCCGGAACCATTTAAAATGGTGTGTAACAAGGACTATGTACGTCAACGATAAGTGGAAAAAGAACACATATACGGAACCAAATGGATGTTGGTGATACCGTTTATATGCGCAAATGTGGCATATGCTCGCAAACAGGACACGATCGTCGTAAATGTCCTTCAGCTAGTTTGGGTGGCGGTGGTAATCCAGCTCCTGGTGTAAGTTCATCTAATGTGCCCAACTATCAAGGATACACGTAGTGTTTTATTTTCGTAATGTGGTTGTAATAAGTGTATGTACTTGTTTATCTTGCAGAATGTATGAAATAAAATTATGTTTCCTTTGCTGTATCGTACCCAAAAGAATCTTTAACACGTGAAGCATAGCGCGGCAAAATACTACGTTATGTGTGTTGTCTTGTCGACCTTTAAAGTTGCTTGCCTGTAAAAGCTATCTTCTGAAAAAGCTGTTTTGTACCCGAAAGAATCTTTAACACGCGAAGCATAGCGCGGTGAAATACTACGTTATGTGTGTTGCCTTGCCTATAAATAACTAGCGCATTTTAGTTATTATCTGTGCTTAACCAAAACAAATAGCAAAACTTTCCATAAATTTTTCATTTTCTTGCATTAACAAATGTTTGGACGCAATGACCAACCAAGGTGCTATTGTGGCAAACGTGTGATTTTGAAGGCATGTTGATCAGATGGTAATGTTGGGCGCAGATACTGGATATGTCAATAATTGTTTCGATGCAATGACAGAAATTAATGTATGTTTGAGGAATGGTATGATGAACCCATTAACCAGGAATACTACAAATCATATTTGCAGTATGTTTGGAATATGAACGGTGAATACCAACGCCAGATCTCTTAAATGCAACGAGAAATTGCGGCAGTGCAGGAGAAACTAATAGAGGCGGAAGAAGAAGAAAAAAGGGTGAAAGAGAAATTTAAGTGATTGGAGCAGAGAATAACATGCGGTAGTGACTAAACAAACACATGTGTGTGTTGAGTGTAGTATTTTATCTTTATGTTTTCCGTGTCATGCATTTTCATTACTTGTACTGAATTTAAATTATGTTAAGTTGATATGTTTCTGTTTGTGTTGTAGTATTAAAATAACGAAGAACCGGAGAAATAAAAACATAATGCTCATATAATATAAACAATAAAAATTGTTGCTATTATTTACTGAATGTCATATGTACATAAAACAAAAAAGATCAATGTGTCCCATATCCTATATGCTTTAAAGAAGCCGTTGGCCTGAGGCGCATTCCATCCCGCCCGGCTACACTATCAGGATCATCCTCATCATGTCGCCTCTTTATCATAGGATGCGCTGCAGCATGATCGTCAGTAGGGCTAGCAGGCTCAGTAGAAGGGGTCGTCGGTCCAGCAGTAAGCTACAGAATAATAAGATATTTTAGTATATGAAATATGTATTACTAATCTACGTGTTAAGTCAAATAAATTTAAATTGTCTTACCATGGTCTCGTCATGCTCATGAATATGATCATCCGTCGCAGCCTTGTCAGTATCGCACAAGATGGCCTCCGTGACGGGCGAGGATGAAGCCTTAAAAAAAATATTTAGATATTTATGACTAATCAATGAGATAAAAGAAAATATAAATAATAGTAATACAAATAAACCTGCGCATGTGAAAGATCCTCAACATCCCTCGATGATGAGCCATAACTCTGCCGGCGCCCACTATCCACAACTCGTGTCGGACGATCATCAACAACAGTCGATGGGTCAGGAAAATACTGATCCCACTCCTGTCGCGTAATGGTTATGCCCGCGATCAATAATAGAGCTATCGAGGTCACCTACGAAGTCCCCGGAGTAAGCTGAAGGCTGAATGACGGCATATCTCTAAAAGCATGGTCTGGCTTATGGTGGTCACCCGGCTGATCAACTCCAACATCCTCAACAGGTGCCTCAACGGCCCCTTGATGGGGACCACCTCCTCGCTGACCCCCACGACCTCGTAGGACACCCCTACCTCGTGGGACACCCCTACCTCGTGGGACATCCCTACCTCTCTGGGCATGCCCGCCACGTCGACCACGTTCCAGCTCCACTGGTGGCCTACGATGGTACTGCTCTGGCACCACATACTCAGCCTCGTATCCTATACGCTCATCATCTCGGGATCGCCTCAATGTCTAGGAAGCCAGATCGGTAACCTGCCTGCCATACTCATGCAAAATGGCTGCTCCCTCGCCGGTACGCTGTTGCATCTGCAGTCCCAACTGGTGGAATAGATGTAGGCCAATAGCCTGCACAACATGTAAAATATAAATTACGGACCGCTAGGTTAACGTTATAAGTTGGTATACCAAATAACATACCAGTGCCTCATGCCTCCCGGCATATGGAACGTACCTACCGCTAGTGCGATAAACGGGATTCCCGACAAAAAGTCGTGTAACCATGCGGTACCGACCCATATACTCATGCTCAGCATCCGTACGGTCAGGTGGAGGGGGTGGCGGAATCAGGTCATGCCGCTGGTCCCAAATATCGATTGGCGCCTCTAGTCATGCCACATATGTCTGGTCAACCCTGGAACGATCATCCCGCTGGTAATGTGTCATATGCCAAGCGGGCGGTGGTGGTACAAGCTGTGGGTACCAAAATTGCGAAGTACTCGCTCCACATGATGTGTTGGTGGTACAAGCTGTCGGTAGCATGATGCTCGACAATATCGAGATACATCAACAGGACGGAATAGCTCCACATGATTCGGTCGGTCGAGCAATAATCGGGCAAACTAGCTATTAGCTCGTCGTTGTATGGCCTCCAAATGAACTATTAAGTAAAAATAGAAAACGTGAGTATACGCAACACATATAAAGCCAGGCCAAGTAAACTTAGGTATATATTTACCTATGCGCCCTCCATCAAATCCAAGAAATCCATGCAATAGGGGATATTATGTCGAGCCTCGTACTCCCGTCCATATCCTTGCTTATCAGCCCACCTCCTAGCTAAAAGGAGAAACAGAGGTGGTGCATCCGGAGCTAAGAGAGGTAGAGGTGGGTGCAACTGCAGGAACCGCTCCCAGGCCCAAACCTAATATACAACGTGGACGTAAAATTTAAGGTATATTTTTACTAGGTATGTTATAATGAATAGAGTATTCGACTATGTTTTCACCTGCAGTAGCGGCAAAAATTCTGCAACGTCTCGCTGGGTGCCCATGCTAGCCCCGCACATCTGCATGTACAAGTAACCGAGAACAGCAGCACCTCAGCTGTAATGATGTATATCATCTAGCTGCTTAAGATGATGAAGAAATCTCAAGTTAACTAGGTTCCCTAAAGTGTTTGGGAACAAAACCCCTCCAAACATAAGCAACATCAGTAACCTCGTATACTGGTGAATATGAAGCTCCGGTGTATCATTTGTGATGTCAGCGTGCATCGCCTCCAAATGATGCCGGACGGGCGTCAACTGCGGAGGACTAGCCCCAATCAATGCAGTCTCATCCGGTGGCTGGAAACCGGTGAGCCGCAGTAGCATCTCTAGGTACTGCAATCCCGTATACTCTCTGATAGCATTCGACAAAGCAACAAGGTGTCCATCAACGGGCAGCCCATACAAGACCTCCACGTCCTGAAGCGTGATAGTGGCCTCGCCAATGGACAAATGGAATGTGTGCATCTCCGGTCGCCACTGCTTTATCAGGGCCGTGATCAACGACCAATTCAGCTGCAACTGGCCGATCTCCACAATCCTATAAAAACCTATATCCTGGAGGCGTCTGACTATACGGAGATGGAGAGGGTGGGCCCTAAGAAAGTTTCACATATCGTCTACTCTCCTGGCGCGGAACGTCTGGGCCAGTAACTGTCCCTCCCATATGTAGGACGACTTATGCTCGCCCTGTAACAACAATAGCTCTAGCGTGGCAGGTCCGGGATGCAAAGGCGGAACCTCTATGTCGGCTATTGTAAATTGAACAATATTAATTATATTATTTTACTTTAATATGTCAGTTTTATTATTTTATATGTTTGTTTGTTACTCACCTATTTTTGACTATAATAAAATTAAATAAATAATTTTCATAATTATACAAGATTTAATTATTAAATATTCACATATGGGTTCCTGGTTCGATATTTGAGGCCCAGTAGCACCAAGGTATCCTGAATTCTTGTGTTCATGATGAGAAAATTTTTTCGATTTATCACTCAATAGGTCTGTTATTTTATATGTTAGTTTAATATTGTATATGTTAATTTTATTAATTTATATGTTAGTTTTATTATATTATATGTTAGTTTTATTATTATATATTTTTGTTTATGACTCATTTATTTTTTACTATAATAAAATTAAATAATTAATTTTCATAACTATACAAGATTTAATTATTAAATATTCATATAACAATACTTAGTCCGGGAAATATTGTTGTTTTCTCATGCTATTTTCTTACGATCGTTGACTAGAATTGGACAAAGGTTGTGTTTGAACTATCAGCTTTTTTGATGAATTTTTGGGTATAATAGATACTTAAATGATTAATTTCAATAACTACAAGGATATTACGCTAAAGGGCACTACATTTTACTACGCTAAAAGGGTACAACATTACAAATACGAGCAATACATTAGGCCACAAGATACAACTACAGGGAACTAAACTAACAATTTATCTATTTTACTAGTCTTTTAGCAAATAAATAATTTAAAGCGAATAACAACAACAAATTAATTTAATTAAAAAACAATCACGAAAATACATATACCACATTAAAAAGTAACTAATTAATATTATTTTTAACAACTAATAACAATTTCTCTATTTTACTAATATTTTTAGCAGACTAATACTATCGTCCGGATAAAAAATAACAAATTAGTTAAATCGCAAAACAATCACAAAATAACATAGAGCACATTAAAAACAACTAATATGCATTTTTTATACTAGTTTTAACAAAAACTAAGTCGAAATACCTCGATTTAAGGTTTTTGTAAAGTTGAAGATTTGGTGATTTGGAGCCGAAACGAGCAACCCACTACTAGAATACGCCTTAGTTAGGATGTGGGACCGAGAATCTATACTTTTTGTGGGACCGGTGGGCTCTACTCGAGCTTTTTTCGTTGACAATGGGGGACCGCTTCTTTTTTTGTTTTGTTTTC